TTAAAGAAGATGGCCATATTTAAATATCTGCAAAGGCCAGAGCATTAAAATTACATAAATGTAGACCTATATTACATGTACAGTCTTTCACTTTATTTGCTTAAATTTTAGAACACTTGATTAGACTTGATGTCGGCTGCATGGACATATCAATGTAAGCAATCAATCACGTCACTAGTTTTTAAAATACAACTTCGCCGGCTAATGAATGCATAAAAGTGACCAGCTGGATATAAACTAATGCAAATAGATGGTAACAATTGCGACATAAAACATGTGGGTCAGGTCTGCGTGTGTTTTTGTCACATTGCTTTAATCGCTTGAGGTAAGTTAGCCGTTACTAATGTTATTCCTCTCAGACTCGACGGCAAGCTTCTGTTCTTTCTCTGCTGAATGTGCTGATGCAGCATCTAGTCAAAAAAATAATTACTTTATAATGATATGGCAATGTGTACTTAAGTGTTCTGTATTCATACCGTTTCGCTGTCTGTGTTTTAAATGCGCATCAAGTGCTCAGCGCTCTCCGTGCAGCTTGTAATCTCCGTGCTCGCGCTGCCTCACGTGTACGTAAACAACTCAGCCAGTGAGTTTGTTATGTGTCCTCTCGCTCTGTATAATGCTAGCAGTCTCTTCAGTGCTCTCGTACTGTGTAATGACAGCGCACACTTCTCAGCCGCTCCAGCAACTAATTAATTTAAAAAAGTAACGGACAACGCGCCATATGGTAACGGTAACGGAGTTAATTTATTTAAAAAGTAATGCGTTACAGTATTAGTTACTGTCAAAAGTAACTGCGTTACTGTAATGCGTTACTAGTAACGCGTTACTGCCCAACACTGATGTCCTGTAGTTGTGCAACTCTTTGTATGATATGCTGCCATGGTGTACAAACCATTGTCTCTGCAGGTCTACATCACATGCATTTTGAAGGTGGCTGCAGCAACCTCTCCAAGTTCTGAACAGAAAGCTTGTTCATTCTCTGCTAATGGGTATGTTGCCCGCTAAATAAGTGTACAGGTGAATTGGTTGCGTTAACTTATTTGAGGGTTTGTTTTGTCAGGTGGGTGTCTGCAGATGATTCTGACCAGGTGTGTGGCTGCTGTGACACAACGTGTAGCATCAGAAGTGGAAGTGATCAACTGCTTACAGGTTTGGACTAACTCTGATAAGTTGTTATTGTCATGCATGGCTTTAGTTCTCACTAATCATTTGTTCCTCAGATCTACGCTGGGAAAGAGCATCTGTCGGCCCCATCAATGTTAAAGAATATGGCTATGGCCAAAAATAACTGGAAATCTCATGTGACTTCTGGTGATTTTTAATAAATGTTGTTAATATATTTGGGTTTTTTGATGTCTTTACTTGCAGTTTACATGGTTTCTGTTCAGACATGTACCACAAAAAGCCTATATGGGGTGACATTTTGCTCAAGTCATTTGTGGGGCTAGGCCTATTACAACACAAAATAAGGACTTGAAACTTTGAGGGATGCTAGTATACCCACCCTGTTTATTGGGGCTTTCGCACCAGAGGAACCTTTTCATAGTTCCTAGAACTATTGGCGGAAGTACCTGGATTTTGGCGTGTTCGCACCGCAGGAACTAGGAACGATTTTATTTCTAGGAACTAATTTAGCTCCTCCTTCAGAGCACTATAGGAACTATCTGTGACGTAAGTGTACGCTGATTGGCCGAACGCACGCGAAACACCAGCACTTGCCATTATAAAGGCTGTGTAAACACACATAGATTATAGCCATTAACTTCAGAAACTCTACAAACGTAGAAAACAGTGATAGATGGGCCTCTTAACCTTTACGCTGAGGAGAAAATCCAACGCAACTGAGGGGACCAAGCAAAACATGATTATATATTTCTGCTCAGCTAGCACACTGGACATGTGTGCAGATGGAAGCATGTCACTTTCAAACTGCTTTGAAATCACCGTCTTATTTTTTTACCCGATTTGCTTCAAACTTTATCAGAATAATGCCAAGACACGGCAGACGTAAACCTGCGAAAGGATTCTTGAATACTGTTGTTATGGCAACGCATCAAACTTTTAAATTTCTTTTGGGTATTTCTGAGACTCTTAGCATGCTTCAAATTGCATGAAACTCGACAGACACACACATCAGAGTTGTCAGCCAGTAGACATGGGCAAAGCCTTAAAAATGGGCGTGTAGGAGCGGCTAAGTAGCGTCACCTTTTAACTAAAGTGGGTGGTTAGTTTTACCTACAGTCAACAAACTTAGTACATACTGTATATTATTCTCATCGAGCCGGACGACTTTCTAATTTACAGTCATTAGCTCCGACCAACAGGAAGTTAGATATTTTTGTTTGAATGTGGATTTTTGGAATCAAGCTCTGAATTTTTACCTACTGCTCCAAGGAGCCTCATACGATTCACACCAAACATTCTCAACATGATGCCAATATATTGAAGAGGCTAAATTTCAAACGGGTATCTTGAATGGACTTGATGAAATAAAATACTGACAAAAAGGGAAACAGGAAGAGTCTCATATCTTCTAAATAATAAATTGTACACCATTTATTTCTATATAAAATAATACAAATAAGAAGTAAAAAACACATTTTATTATTTTTCATAAAATGCATTTGTGTTATCTGGTTGAAAGAAATAAAATGTAATACATAGTATAACCACTAGTTTGCAGCATAGGCCTATATTTAAACAGGGTTGAAAAAAGCCTTGTTGCTGAGAATTTTACAGACATAATTATCAAAAATGTTGAATTTTCTGGCTCAACTAACTGGTAAACAGTCTCCAACTCTTGAGAATCTTCCCCAAAGAGATGCTGAACAGGAGTCCTCAGAGCATTTTGGCTGAGCTTTATCCCCGAGACTCCAAACATTAGTCTTCCTTCATTCACTTTGTCTTTCAATCAGCTGTGACTCTGTCTGATTTGAATCAAATCCTCAAACCTTCACCTGGTGTAAATACATTTTGGTACATATAGATTGTTACTCAATCTCTCTGCTCAAATCTATCTCTCTGCTCAAATCTAGTACACAAGTCTACACTGATGGATTACAAAGTTGTTTTCATTGCTGTTCTTGGTATTTGTTTCTTTTATTAAAGCAAACATGTTATAAATATCGTTGCTGCCCCGCAGTGTGGACGTTTTTTTGTGAGTTTCTCAGTGTGTTAAATTGTTAAATTTTTCCAGAGGATCTGGAAAAAATGAGTCTGAATATCGTCGAGGATTGAAGACTTGCAGCCTCTGACCGAAATGGATGGAGGAACTCTGTGTTGGGGCTGTCGGAGCGTGGTCTACCATCGCCATGACATACATACATACATACATACATATTCATGTAACTTGCTAAGTTGGTAAAAGGTACAGGATTGTTTTTAGACGCAATTTAGCATTAAATTCCCCCCCAATTTAGCATAAACTGAGCTTTGTTCTTACTTCTGCATGTGCCCAATCCTAAAACTTACCTACCCCATATATCAGTAATTGTCTCTCTGCACAGTTTGTTTTACATTATGACAATTAAACACAACTATTTATAAAGGTCAACCTGATGTGATCAGACACATTTTGTGTAAAGTGTATGAGAATTTCATATGCAGACAATACACAGTTACACACTTTAAAATGTATAAACAGCACAGGGAATCAGAGCCTTCAAAAAACAATAATCAATTATCTTTTAACAGCCAGTTAGTTTCCCAGGTGAACAATGTTTCATGTAATTAGTTATTTGCCCTAATTGGACTGATGAAGGCCTATAAAATACACTTATCTCCAGTTACATATGTTTGCAATTGTAGTGTCTGTGTGGTGGTTTGAGAAAGTGAATGTTGGGGCTTTGGAGTACTCAGGGTTTTTTGTTTGCCATGGATAAAGGGTGGACACAGTGAGTTTATTCAATCAATCTCGGTTTGTGGATGATTCAGCAAATAATTAATTTACTTTATGTATTTTATATATTTACTTTTAGGTTACCCTTGTTTGTAACCTTCCTGCTCTTTTTGAGTAATGCTCATGGATTTAAAGGTAAGATTAATGTTTTTGGTGGGTTTTTTATTTTTTATTATTTCTCTTACAGAGTATTTTAAATTGTGAGGTTTCTTTTTCTACAAGTCGTCTTTTGTCTAATTCACAGGTGGGGCTCATTCAGATGCCCACCACCGGTGGGGCCAACCTTCAGACAAAACTTTCTCACCTCGTGCAGTCCAGTCTTCTGTGGCAGAGGTCCCTGTGACTGGGATTTTGCCTGAAGAAGTGGGCTCTAGTTTATTCACTAACAGACCCCTGAAAAGGTTAAACTTACTCCAATTTGTTAAAGGTGGTGTTTCCAGCAGGCATGAATTAATGTCCCATGCCCAGACAGCTCCAAGCAGCTCTGTTTTAGCGTCCTTGCCTCTACCCTTAAATGAACGGTATGCAGGCCGTTTGACATCGCTCCAGGGTTCCTCTGGATCAGCCGCTACAGATACTACTAGTGTTTCTACACAAGGAGAAAGTAGCTTCCCTGCCATACTTGGCACTTCTGGCCTGTCCACCAGTGATCAAAGCTCCCCTAGTTTGTACATGTCCAGCTCCCTGGAAACCTCTGGTGCTAAATCAGCAGAAGCCACTTTGCCTGTGTTCTCTCAGGAGAGCATCTCTTACAGCAGTTCATCTGCTCCAGGTGCCACGTACACTTCTCAAGGTAGCCCAGTGCTGGCTTCAGAAGGCTCTGGTCAATCCATCTCCCCTCAGGGTGAAAGCAGTTACAGTGGCTTGCCTCAGTCTCAAGGTGCCTCGAGTCAATATAACCCAGGCTCCTATAACGTGCTCAGTTCTTCATCTCTTTCTAGTCAGTCTACCAGTGACCAGAGTACCCCCAGTTTGTATAGTTCTAGCTTTCAGGGAAGTTCGGGCAGTTTGTTGGAAGCTTCTGGCTCTTCTTTTCAAGGGGAAGTGGCAGGGCTTAGCTCTCTTGTTGACCTGTCTCCCCAATCACAAGACAACTCCAGTCAGCTTCTACCCTCACCCTTGGAGGTCTCCAGCCAGTCTACTAATGGTCAAAGCACTCCCAGCTTGTTTATGCTTGGCTCTGAGAGCAGTTCAGATTCACAGTCAACAGGTCCTGCTTCACCTCTAGACACTCAGGGTAGTCTCTCTCAAAGCATTTCTAGCCAGTCCACAAGCGTTCAAAGTTCCCCTAGTGTGTCTACAAGCACCCAGAGCAGGTCTGCCACTCAATTCACTTCCAGTAATTTTTTCCCTGTGCAGGGAGGTAGTGGTTCTACTTCTAGCTTATATCTGAAGCCTCAGGGCACTCTGGGTCTGTATGCCCCTGCGTCCCATACCAAATATGTGAGTTTTCCCATGTCATCACACCCAGCTATTTATAGCCAGTCAAAAAGTAGCTCTTTTCCTTGGTTTGGGGGCTCTACTGGCTTTGCCTCCCAGGGAATGAGTAGCACTTACAGTGGTTCTGTCCAGCCTCAAGGTACCACAAGTCAGTTTGCCTCTGGGTCTCCAACCTACTATCCAAGTGTATCACTATCTTCACCCCAAGGTGCCTCCAGTCAGTCTGCTACAGTCCAGAGTTCACGGAAGCAGTTTGCCTCTAGCTATGGCACCCAGTCAGGGTCCTCTAAGCCATTCACCCTGCAGGGAAGCACCACTTATGGTGGATCACTCCAGCCTCAAGGTACCACAAGTCAGTTTGCCTCTGGGTCTCCATCTTACCATCAAAGTGTATCACTATCCTCACCCCAAGGTGCCTCCAGTCAGTCTGCTACATTCCAGAGTTCACGGAAGCAGTTTGCCTCTACCTTCACAGGCAACTCTGGCACCCAGGAAGGGCCCTCTGGTCCCTTCAAATGGCAGGAAAGCACCACCTATGGTGGAACACTCCAGCCTCAAGATACCTCAAGTCAGTTTGCCTCTGGGTCTTCATCCTCCTTTCCAATTGTAACACTATCCTCACCCCAAGGTTCTGCCAGTCGGTCTGCTACAGTCCAGAGTTCACGGAAGCAGTTTACCTCTACCTATGGCACCCAGTCAGGGTCCTCTAAGCCATTCACCCTGCAGGGAAGCACCACTTATGGTGGATCACTCCAGCCTCAAGGTACCACAAGTCAGTTTGCCTCTGGGTCTCCATCCTACTATCCAAGTGTATCACTATCCTCGCCCCAAGGTGCCTCCAGTCAGTCTGCTACAGTCCAGAGTTCACGGAAGCAGTTTGCGTCTAGCTATGGAACCCAGTCAGGGTCCTCTAAGCCATTCACCCTGCATGGAAGCACCACTTATGGTGGATCACTCCAGCCTCAAGGTACCACAAGTCAGTTTTCCTCTGGGTCTCCATCCTATTCAAGTTTATCACTATCCTCGCCCCAAGGTGCCTCCAGTCAGTCTGCTGCAGTCCAGAGTTCACAGAAGCAGTTTACCTCTACCTTCACAGGCAACTCTGGCACCCAGGAAGGACCCTCTGCTCCCTTCAAATGGCAGGGAAGCACCACCTATGGTGGATCACTCCAGCCTCAAGGTACCACAAGTCAGTTTGCCTCTGGGTCTCCATCCTATTCAAGTTTATCACTATCCTCACCCCAAGGTGCCTCCAGTCAGTCTGCTGCAGTCCAGAGTTCACAGAAGCAGTTTACCTCTACCTTCACAGGCAACTCTGGCGCCCAGGAAGGACCCTCTGCTCCCTTCAAATGGCAGGGAAGCACCACCTATGGTGGATCACTCCAGCCTCAAGGTACCACAAGTCAGCTTGCCTCTGGGTCTCCATCCTACTATCCAAGTGTATCACTATCCTCGCCCCAAGGTGCCTCCAGTCAGTCTGCTACAGTCCAGAGTTCACGGAAGCAGTTTTCCTCTAGCTATGGCACCCAGTCAGGGTCCTCTAAGCCATTCACCCTGCAGGGAAGCACCACTTATGGTGGATCACTCCAGCCTCAAGGTACCACAAGTCAGTTTGCCTCTGGGTCTCCATCCTACTATCCAAGTGTATCACTATCCTCACCCCAAGGTGCCTCCAGTCAGTCTGCTACAGTCCAGAGTTCACGGAAGCAGATTGCCTCTAGCTATGGTACCCAGTCAGGGTCCTCTAAGCCATTCACCCTGCAGGGAAGCACCACCTATGGTGGATCACTCCAGCCTCAAGATACCACAAGTCAGTTTGCCTCTGGGTCTCCATCCTCCTATAATTGTCATTGTGTATCGTTGTCCTCACCCCAAGGTGTTGCCGACCAGTCCAGCCAAGCATTTCAAAGCTATTCTGGGTCCCAAAGCCAGAAGTCTCAAAGATGGCAGCCTTCACAAGGTATTCAGACCTCAGGTGCAGCTACATCACAGGGTAGCTCTCTGTCTCAAAGCTCTCCAATGCAGAGTTTGTTTCCTTCCCTGTCATCAGCAGGAGGCTCATCTTCAGGAGATCCTGGACCGTTTGTTTCTGCACAGGGTGGTAGCAGCAGATATGGTGGCTTTTCTCTTCATTCTCAAAGCCCCTCTAGCAAGTACACCCCTGGGTCTCATGCATATGCCAAGCTTGGTTCCTCTCCCCTAGCTGTTTCTAGCCAGTCTACCAATGATAAGCGGTCAAATGGCCTGTATAGCTCAGACTCTCTGCGAACCCTGGGTCTCATTGGTGTAGTTGAAAGACCCTCTAGACTCCCATCTCAAGCTCCTTCTGACTCTACAAGCAGTAACCAAATCTCTGAGCATTTTGTGACCATGCAACGCCCCACAGGTTCAAACCTAATACAATCAACCATTCCTCAATCAGCTATACTCCGTAAAGGGCTAAGGGACTCTATAAAACAGCGACATTATGCAAAGTGACGTCTTCCAGAATATAAAATCTAATAAATGTTTGTAACAAAGTGTTTTTTCTTGTGCTGTTTTGTGTTTAAGCTACATTCAAAGGATAGAATTCCATGTTAGTTGAGTTTGTTTAACTTGGAAAAGGGGTGCCATGTAGGGTTTTGTGTGCCAAATTGGTTGAGTCAGTTGCTGTCTTAATCACGTTTTGTTGGCATTGACCAGTTAACTAAAATTTGCTTAAGAAAGAGAGATATCAGCTGTCGGTATATCGTTGATCTTGGTGTTAAATATTGGTGATCAGTACCTGCCTCAAAATCCTGATAGGTGCAATACTATTTTCTAGTCAAAGCTTTAATTTTTCTAATGTTTGTTTTGCTTTTGAATATTCACCTCAAATGTTAATGTTTTTGCACTGATGCCAGATCTATTAATATTCATTGGTTTGTCCATTGATTCAAATAAAGAATTTAATACATGGTTGATCAAATTTAAAGTTTATTGGGCAAGTGAAAAACCATTGCAAAAATCATCTACTGGCCAGAGATTCAAATCAATAACTTTGCTGAACTTAACCTGAGGTTAAAAACTGAAGATAAAAATAGCTTCTAGACCCTCTTTGGCTGGTCCATAATAAATTGGGCCTTATTTTGGGTTAATTTTCTCATTCCACTGTTCTATTTCATTTGTCCACTGCTTAAAACAGTTATGAATAATAGCTTGTAAATGACATTCAGCCTGCTACCACAGAGTGGCGCTGTGATCATTAAAACCAAGAACCACATAAGGCTGTCTTCCCCTTTTGAGACCATTTCTGAGACATTTTAGTGGGCAAAAGCGTGGATAAAAAACATGGCATTGTACTTAAGAAATTCAGTGTTTGAGATACTTTGCCGATAGAAATGGACAACATGTTCTCATGAGTATTCGTATGTATTTTGCCACACGTACATTTACTTGTGTTTCCATAGACACTGAAACCTACAATATTGACGTATTGACAGCCCTATAACATCAAACAACTTTACAGACTTACAAATGTGTACAAATCCTTATTTATGAATATTAAAATTGTGGCATTAATATCTCGATTCTATTGTATTCAATTGTCATATCAATGACATTATGTTCTCAGTCGCATTTATGAGAAACTGTTTACTCATCCACTTAATTTGGGGCCCTTAACCTGCTCAAAAACACTTTGCACACGTTGAAATTGTCAGCCATCAGGGTCACTGATGACACAAGTGACCACACAAGATGACATGGTGGGGTCATAGGTTGTATTTGAGGGGCTCTGTAGCGCAACCCTTTTTACCTAAAGTAGCCAAACTTCATACACTTATTGATCTCATCGGGCAAAACAACTTTTCGATCAGATTTTCAATATCCCGAACAGTTTGGCTGTGGCAAGGCAACAAATTTATGGCAAAAAAAAAGGAAACAGGAAGTGTGTCATAACTTCTGCATATATTGTGTCACCGAGGCTCACCCCAATCGACCTGATGGTGGTGCTACAGTGATCAAAAGTACATAATGGATACATAAATCCTAAACAACTTGTCACAGGCTCAAGTGTCTTATATCATTGGAATCCTTGACAGAAAGCATGTCTTGGAATGATGTCATTTTGTTGAAATTCAGGGGGATGTTTTCAAGAAACCTGTATACTTTTGTAAAAATGAAAGATTGAGAAGGGTATATAGATATGTTCAGAATAGCATACTACCATAACATGCAAATTATCCCAGAATGCAACACACTGTACCTTCCATGAGAAATTTAATTCTCATGTTTTGATCCAACTGCAGAAGTAAATACATTTTTACACAAAATTAAATAAAAAATGCAAAAACAGCTTTTTATTTCTTTGATGATTGCGGAACGTAAATTGCTGAATTAAACAAACAACGTTTATGGTTGTTCTGTTTGACAAACTATTTTAAAAAGTATGGCTCCGTCCGAAATCACATAGCTACTTTGAACTACATAGACTTTGAACTTAAACATGACTGGGGCATCTATTATTGTAGGCTACTCGCACTGATTTCCACCATCCCGATAAAAGCCTCTTTTTCTTAGGCTAGTTAACTTATGTCCACGTTTCACGTTTACATGTTGAGCGCCACCTCGAGGACCCATGAAGTAGCGACGCTGGGAGCAGGGAAATCTATTTAGAGCGCCTTATTTTATTTAAAAAAAATATCGCTATTTGACGCCAGCGTATCGATTATCGTATCGCACGGAGCATCAAGGTGTTCCTCCTAAACTTACAGCTCCTCTGGGTAGACCCATGCAGGAAGTCTAAGTTATTTGCCTCCAGGAGCACCTGAGGGGCCTGACAGAGCCCACCAGTCCTACTCTCCATCGTCGTCCTCCTCAGTTTCCTCCATGCTGCCGCTCCCTGCCCTCAGCTCAGGGACCAAAATGAGCGGCTTCAGTAGCGCTCAGTTTCAGACTCTTACTCTAGCTCTTCTTCAAAAGAAGGGTCCCGTAGCAAAAGAAATGCTGATGACAGGGGTCGTCATGGAGAATTTCATTATCGTCATGGTGACAGACAAGTCGGGAGAGATAGTGACCGAGATCACTGTGCTGCTTCACAAACTATTTGTGAACTTAACTATATTTTCTTTAACATTCTCCAGCATGTTTTAATGTGTGCTATGTCATGTTTCAAACACCAACATTTTTTTTAAGTTCTTAATGTCTAATGAGCTTAACTTTTGTATTTTAAAATAAATTGTTTTAGTAGACTGTTCAGATTATAGTCTTTCAGTGCTGACCAGCGTATAGTATAGGCCTAGTTCAAGAAAAAATGAAGTCTACAATGAATCCACAAACACTCTGATCAACCTAAACATAACAGTTGCAATGGGGAGAAAACATATCAGTGAATCTATAATCAAATAATGTTATGATCCTGCATTCCTTTGGTTCTGAACTAAATTTCTCCATTTCAGACCCCCGTGAAGATTGCTGTTGATGTGAGGGAAGAACGTTTGTTATAATCTAAACCTGAAACATACTAAACTTTATTATTCTGGATACTCTAGTGTGCAATTCTGTCTGTGGCCATGTTTCTGAATTAATAAAAAAAGGAAGAAACAAAAAGACTTGAGGTTATTTGTGTTCCAGAGAATTGATCCTTTCATTTTGTTATTTAAAACAAGCAATCATTTAGCTACTAATAACATGCCCTTATATGTAAATTCATTTTATTCTGCGTAGTAAAGAATCAATGACTTTCACCTGTGACATATTGATTGAGTAAATTGGCAGGTCTAGGGAAAAATGATGCTTGTCACAAGAGAGGTGGAGCCATTCTGATTTACATCTGCATAAATTTGGATGGTTGCACCCTAATGTGTCATTAAAACAAGCTTGGCAATAATGGGGTTTTGGCAGGTTGGATTTGGATTGGTGTTTATTCTTGCACTTGGATTTTCTGAAGCACAATGGAGAGCAAGAGCAGCACATAATCGGAGTCCAAGCGAGTTTAGGCCTAGAACATTAGCTCAAGCTTCTCAACAGGCTGATTCCAGGATGTCTTTGGTTCCCAGTAACACTGCATTTGCACCACAAAGTTTTCCCGCTCCGTTTCCTGTCCAGACACCAGTCAGGACTGACTTTGGAAAGTCTTCTCAAGATCTTATGGGTGTTCAATTAAAAGAGCTGTTGCAGGGTCCAGTGGCGACACTGACGTGGAGCTTTCCAAGTCTACCAGAGGAACCACAGCAGCCAGACGTTCCTTTTGAGTTGCCTTATCCTGTCCCTGCCAACAGTGTAGCTGCTCAGTGTGGAGAGAATTCAGTATATGTGGAAGTGATGAAGGACTTCTTTGGGACTGGGCACCCACTGTTGTCCTCTGGTTTTACACTGGGAGGCTGTACTGCAACTGGAGAGGATTCTTCTGCTCAAGTGCTGATCTTTGAGTCTGAACTGCATGGATGTAGCGGCACATCAATGGTAAGGTTCTGTTGTGACAATCATAGGTATTCTGAACCGTCCATGTGACTGTTCTTCTATTAACCTTTCTGTTTAGGTGACTGAGGATGAGCTTGTCTATAGGTTCAACATTATGTACACCCCACAAGAGGCTTCATATGGTGTTCCTATTGTCAGGAGCAGTGGTGCGGTGGTTGGTATCGAGTGTCATTATCCAAGGTGAGGATTCAATTAATTCAGGCTCACCCAATGTTCTAATCCTGCCGTTTATGGGCAAGAGATGACCGCTTGTTTAACTCCTACAGAACACATAATGTGAGCAGCGATGCCTTAATGCCCACTTGGATCCCATATGCCTCAACTGAGGTTGCAGAGGACGTGTTCGTCTTCTCCCTCAAGCTCATGACTGGTTGGTGTAGCCCATACAGATTTGTAGAATGCTTGTGAATCATCTGTTAAGATAATAATAATAATAATTATTATTATTTAATTTTTTTTCAGATGACTGGAGATTTGAGAGACCTTCTAACCAGTACTTCCTGGGTGACATGATAAATCTTGAAGCATCAGTGCGTTTGTACAGCCATGTTCCCATCCGTGTGTTTGTGGACAGCTGCGTGGCTACTGCAGTCCCTGATGTTGCTTCTGTCCCCAGATACTCCTTTATTGAGAATAATGGGTAAGAGGTGCTACCTCATGTATCCCAGCTTCCATAAGGGTTGTGTGATTTCTAACTGGGTTCTGTTCACAGGTGCCTGGTTGATGCCAAGCTCACAGGCTCCACATCTCACTTTATGCCCCGGACTCAAGGTGATAAGCTAGATTTTCAGCTAGAGGCGTTCCGGTTCCAGCAAGCAGACAGTGGGCTGGTATGCATGTCCTGCAGTGTTGTGCTAGTTACTAAGAAATAGTAACTAGTTACTAGTTACTTCATTCAAAAAGTAACTCAATTACTTTGTTGATTACTTACACCAAAAAGTAATGCGTTACTGTTAAAAGTAACTTTTTAGTTACTTTTTTAAAGAAAGTTCTTAAATGTTCCCATTAATGCCCTTTTATGCGTTATGGTCTATACA